TCTCTTTATGTGTTATTTTTATTAGATTCCATCATTATTCTCCATTCTCTCCTTTTGTGTAATATATGGAAAGTACGTAGATAAGAGTTAGATAGTATTTAGTCCAAGGGTATAGTTCATATTTTTATCAAACTAATTTGCACCAAACAAATTCTTACTCACAATTTTTGTATAACTTTGGTGAAAAAGATAAAGCATTTTTGATTCTGATTCTGTTTCTGATGTACATTTTTCATCATAATTAAATATCCCATATTACTTCTTCGCCCAAATTTAACCTGCCATTTTCAAAAAAAAAAGTATAATTACCCAAAACGAGCAAGGATTGTGCTGCAAACGTCCCCCCAAAAACAGCAACACTGTTTCAAAACAGTTTCAAAAATATCTACCGACTCACGCACTCTCCAACGTATGCACACAGACAACACACATCAAAATCTTACTTACGCACCGTTGCACATCAACCCTTAAACCGCAGGGTGTTAACCGCTTATTTCCGCCCCGATGACGCCCAGATGCTCATATTTAGCCCATTTTGTCACGGGATTACAGCATGTATGCTAGCAGGGGCCTGCCTTTGTATTCTTACACTTCTATGCGCTCGTGTAAATATTGTAACTTTGATAGCCCGCGGTTTCCTTCATAAAGGGGCCCCGCAGGATAGTAGGCCTAATATTGTGGTACTGGATACTTAAGACACTTGAGGTTTGGGGCGTGGTGTGAATGAAAGGGGTATGAACACTTTGTGGGTAGATGTATTGTTTGAATTTTGAAATATTGTTGAAACCTCATGAATATACACTAATAACATAGCAATCGGTAAAATCAGTCATATGTATCAATATACAATTATCTATATAATTAATACGCTACATGAAACTTTGTCGGTTGAACTCCTCCGCCATTTCTTAACCGATTTTATCCACTGACGTCTCATTGGAAAGAGCGTGTCGCGTAGATTTGCAAACTGGCCTTACATTTTTGAAAAAGTCCCTTGGGCTCTGCCCCAGTGGCTTTGAAAGGTCCCATGTTATCCTTATGAAGAACATAATTGTTTACATTTTGATCAGCTGTATAATTTAATTGCTGTTATTCATTTTTCAATCCAATTAAACACATTGAGTACATTTATTTACTATTTGAGTTTGTGTAAACATAACCCCCAAGACGGATCGTGTTAGTATGGTTTTATCTCAAATTTGTGTATTTATCGTCGTTTTGTGTGATGACGGATCGTGTTAGCATGATTGTAACTTAAATTTGTGCATTTATCGTTGTTTTGTGTAGCTATAATTTGTTTATTCCCAAAACGACTTTTCGTTCTCAATTGGCCCTCTATCAATGACCTGTGTTGCCTGTACAGCGAGGCATTTTGAGAAGGAGAAAACCGGCCGGAATGCTTTAGGTTTATCAATAACGAAGATAAACATGGTCTGAGTAACACACCGGTAATCTTTGAGTTGACTCTTTTAAACACATTGTATGACTGTTATTCGTTTTGAAATAACTCCTGTAATACTTTGCAATTGCTCGAATTCGAGCAACATGTACACTAGTATGAATTAATTTGTAGTACATAGTTTACTGAGTAAATAGTAGAATTTTCTTCCTATACCTCTTCTTGGTTCTTATAACCACTTAAAATATTATCACTATACAGAATTAACAAACAGCAAACAATTGTTGTGCTAAATAAACATAGCCTATGATGAACACACCCACCACAGCAAACCTGCAGACTAAGCGAATTTCCACCTGCCCGATTGGATTTTCACTAGAATATCTCATTTAAACCGTTATATTTATTCCCTATTAAATTAACATTAGCTTATCGAGTACTTAGGTTTGCAGCTACAGGTAAGGTGTTAAAGTATTATTTTTGTAAATTGCAAATAGCTTAGTATAAAATACATTTGGCACACGAATTTAACGTTTATTGTTTGTTATAAGTCTTCGTTAGCTAATGTTGTCTAGTATTTCCCAGTGACCTAAACATATAGTGGTTTAAACAAAAGTGCTTTACAAACGGGGAGCCATTTTATATACAGTATACCTTATATTAACACTAATGTGTGCTTAAGCTCACCAGCTCAGTATACGCTGGACAACTCTCGGTGTAGCGTTTTGGCGGGAGACGCGTCACATTTTGCCGCGTAACCATGGCTACCAACCCCATTGTTTACTTTGCCCAAGAGTGTCTGATTTTTCCCCGCTAAAGATTTCTCTGCCTCCCCCGCTGCATTTGTTTCTCCACTGGGGTCAAAGTAAAACTAAAGCGTGGTTTCCAAAATGAGACACAACTAACTTTTTATTGCCATGAATTAAAATGAGTTTAGAATTAATATTTTGTCAAGTAGCTTACAATAAACCATACATTACTTTCGAAAAACTACATTAAGTCAATACGAAGTTATTTCAGATATTATTGTATAATTTTCTATACACATTTAGCGTAGCGAACGAGCTAACCTGAAGGCAAGTGAGCGGAGCAAACGAGCTCCAACCTAAAGGTGAGTGAGCGTAGCGAACGAACTTCAACCAGGACGTGATTGAGCCATGCGAACGAGCTCACTTGTGAAGTTAAACGGGGCAAAGCCCGCGAGTACAGCTAGTTGTTTTATAACCACAACTTTATCCAAATTGCACCAAATTTAAACGCAAAACCAAAACTTCTATAACAATAATATATTTCTAAATAATGAAGCTTTAACCAGTCAAGTATTTTATTAATCCAAATGAGGTTAACCAATACCCAAAATATCCTGTATTAAATAATAAATACTAGTTATCGAATGATTTATTTCACCACAATTCGTTTGGACGAAGGGGATCTCCCGTAAATCAAAACATGTGGCTTTTAACAAAATACTGCGCTGATAATGGTTGGTTAATTTATTAGAATAGTTTTTCTCACTCCCCCATATTTTACATTTATGAAGTATGCTATTAAACAGTCTATAATCCATTACTGAAAATGAATATTCCATTGATGTGATTGGCGAGTAAAACTAGTATAAAGTTCTATACGCTTTTCAAACAATCAATTTGACGGGTTTTGATTGTTAATTCAATTTGATTTATTAAATAAAGACCAAAGAATCCAACGAGGTATTGCTCGTTGGTTACATGTATTCATTACGGGGACTACTTTATATGCCAGTGAAATAAACCTTAATTATTTTTAATTTTATTTATATTACTTCATCATGGCGAGGTACCCAGCATATCATGTGGCAAGGAAACCATTTAAGTCTCTAATTAAATTTAACTTGGTAAAAACTAGACTTATTCTCAAGTTAAGGATAAAAATATATATACAAAATAGTATTTATAGGAGTCAATTTGGTCAATTTTGTTTGTCATCTAATGGAAATAAACGTTCGGTTCTTAATTCTACACGGATTTATAAAAAAATAATGGCATATGGATGTAACAATAATATTGTCCTTGTCAATATTTTCTCCTAAACCAACAATTATGTGAAACGAAACAACTAAAAAATATTAAGGCAGTCCAAAGATGAAAAAAATTATTCATCACATTTTACTTGTTTTAATAGTAGACAAAAATACACAAAACTACTATTCTCGATGGCACAAAATCAAAGCCTACATAAACGTACACCTCCTACATAGATTGAAATCAAAGACGGTAACAAAATAAATTTTCATTAAAACCATAGACAATTAATTGTGTCTACTCCTTTAATCAATGGTAAACTTCAAGGCTAAATTTGAGTCCAGCTCGATGCATATGCAGTATAAATAATATACAGTATTTAAGTTTAATATACAGGGTGTTCAAAAAAGGTGGGGACATATTTTACCTAGTGATTCCTTGGGTCAAAATAAAGAGAAAATCACGTCTAACATTTTTTTCAAAATGTTAACGAAGCGATTTTGGAAAAAATGTTAGACGTGATTTTCTCTTTATTTTGACCCAAGAAATAAAGAGGTAAAATATGTCCCCACCTCTTTGAACACCCTGTATAAATCAAAGACTGGTAAAAAAATCAAGTTTAAGAGCGGTAAAATTAAATACAAAATTTATGTCCAGCTCCGAAACCAAATCAAAGACGATAACAACAAGTTAAAGAGCGGACAGCTACGGAGACTTGGAGCTTCCTGACAGGAGATAATTGGGAATCAAACCTATTGAGGGATGAGCACAAGGGTGGGGGAGGCTATTCATTATATTTACATGCAGACAATTAAGTGCCTAGTCTGTCAAAGTGGGTTTGATACGCTTTATCTACGACCAGTCGACCTTATCTTATCACTATGTCGCCACCCTCAGCTTTATTACCAATTACCCCTGTATACGCTCAGGAAACTATTTGATTAGCTCCCCTCTACATCGCGAAACCAGCCGTCAATAGTGTTTAAATACGTTTGAGCTAACGCTTTATCACTTAAAGTGGTACGGGTTGATTTTGAAAGTAATTGTGTATTGTGGTGTATCACAATTTTTTGATTGTGAAAAATCTTTTTGTGATGCATTGTTTTTTTAGCTTCGTTTTTTACTGGGTAATAAAAACGATGCCTGCTAAATACTCTTATTTATATTTCTAGTTCTTTACTATTTAGTACACCATTTCACTTCACATTACAATTTTCATTAGTTGACTCTCCTTGTATAACTATTTAAGTTTTGAAATGTAGAAAATCTTTAAGGTACAACATGCTCATAAGAGTAAAATACACTCTAAGAGTCACTTCTGGGATAAAAACGTACGTTAAGGAAGTCTTAAAGTATTTAAATCCTAAATTATATTTTTTACAGTGAAAACTCTGCAATCGCAATCAATCAACTTCATGAGTTTGAGTTTCAAACTACCCTTACTCACGATGGTTTACAAAAGTGAGGACAGTATACAAAAGTAAAGTAGCATGGTTAAAAGTGCAAGCTTTGGTTATGCTAGGACCCTGAGCCCCCCCCCTCCTAGAATACAATACAACACGGTTATACTTTGTATATAACAAAGGACCTCCTTGTTCCAGAAGCTAAGGACGTGTTGAGCGTCTCGGAGTTGGACGCTGGCGGATCTGCGCCAGAGGACTGCGGCGCAGGAACTGACGATGACGTCAAACCGCGCAAGATCCGGCGCAGTAGGACCACATTCACAACCTACCAACTGCACCAGCTGGAGCGAGCCTTTGAGAAGACTCAATACCCAGACGTCTTTACAAGGGAAGAGCTGGCGATGAGGCTGGACCTTAGTGAAGCTAGAGTACAGGTAAAAGAGCTTTCTGGGTTTATAAATTAGATCTCCTCAGAAACTCTGACTTGTTGTTGAAATTTCTGATTTTTTCGACTTTTTGTTAATCTAGTTAGGTTTTAAACCTGTAAGGTGACATCAGATGTCAACTTTGTGAAATTTCCTGCCTTCCACCTGAATTTATTATTTCTTTGTCAATTGTTTGATCAGAGGTTTTCTAATACATTTTAACAGGTGGGTAAAAAATAACTATAATAATAAGCCACTAATTGACCGGAATATTATTTTTGAAGACTCTATTGGTGGTAAAAATATTTTAACAAACGAAAAGTCACGTAAAAAATCAAAAACTCAAAAAATCAAAACCCAAATTAAAAAACAAAAATAAAAAACGTAAATCTGGAGAAACTCAATTGCAGCAAAATAAATGCTAAACAATTATAAGGGTGTTATGTACAAACGAAATGATTCCCTACTTAACAACAAATATATTGGGCATAATTGCTGACAAAAGGAATACAATTAGACATAACATAGAAATCTTCAAAATATATTTTTAGAAATATAGTTCTGCTACAGATCAAGCCTAGCGTATACTTTAGTCGCTCGTGTCGCTTATGTCAAGCTGTATGTCGCTCGTGTGAATCCTGCCTTAAAATTTAACCTTTAGAAGCAGTTGAAGGCTGCTAAGTACTCATAGAAACAGACTGTACAAATATTATGTAAGTAAATATATAATTTGAAACAATCCTGAATTCAATTGCCTACAGTTAAAACACCTAAATAAAAATACGCGTTAAGGTAGACTCAAATAAAATACAAATAAACTAAATTTAGTCCGACTTATCATCTACATTTGTTTGAATATCTTCGAAAAATAGTCAAAACTGATCGAATCGTTGTAAATTGAAGAAAATATGCTTTGTATAATTTGCTCGGCAAAGGGTGGTGAATCGGACCTAATGAGTCTAATGCTCTGTGAAGGCTTTACTCGCCACAATACAAGTGGATTCTTCCAACATGTTTTTATTGTTATCGAGAACATTTCTGCCAATTACACCTTGAAAAGAAGCTCTTGAGAGTTTTATTTTAGTCTGGTTTGAAATAATTGTTCGTCTAAGTGCTCTTGAAAGCCACTGATCAAATGCAGTCTTGGTTTTGTATTTAACCTAATTCTTTGGACTAAAACCAATCTCATGCAATACTTTTCCGTATTTTGACGGATACAATTTTTTTGGTGATTATTTTAATCTACGATTAAGCACTTTGGATATTCATAAGGTATTACAAAGGAAGAGAAAAGCACATCTAATAAAGATAATGAAATAAGATAAAAAACATTATTTGTTGACAATAGTGTTTACTTGTCGTAAGGATAACATACACAAACCTTAGATTTTTTCATCAGCATCGGAAGTGTATTTGTCATATTCAAATGCATTACGTTATCTACTGAACAAATCCTATACTACGTAACAACAGGTAAAAATAATTTCGTACCTACTGATCACAAGAAAAATCAATCATATGTAAAAAAAAACATATGACTCGCATCACAGAATATAAATTATCAAAACAATTCCTCAAATCAAATTAAACCAACCCGAATTGTTTCCGTATTAGCAGCTTAAAACAATTAGTTGACAGGCAAAATATGAAATTATGTATAAAATAAATTGTGTATTACGTAATGCCATGCTATTAACGATAACCTAGAAGCAAAATCGATCACATAAAAAACATAGCTAAAAACAAATTCTGAAACATCAAAACGTGTTCTCAAAACGCAGTTAATTTTCCCAGAGATCTGACCCTATTCACTGTCACATAGGACAGGATCGACTGGGAATACGAACACAAAATCTGACAAATCCTCAAAACAAATTCAATCTTCTCGGAACGCTACGCAACTTTAACACATTACCTGACAGGATCACCAAGCAATTCAGCTAATTGCCCGTTAATGTTATAAGTTGATAAATAGCTTATACAGTCGAACCGTGCAGTTGACGGGCGCTTAGCTTAGGACGTAATTGAGCGCTCGGACCAGAAATTAATTGGTTGCTCCTCTTTTGTAGTAGACCCACCGCTGAGATCTGAGGGCTCCCCCATCGTCCATTGCGAGCCTTGTCAATTAAAAAACGATAATTACCCCGTAAGTGACACACGCAGATGTCCTACCGGATTTGTTGACTTTGGGGAGGATTGCTGGTGAAACATAAGTAATTCCTTGGACACTATTTTCCCTGTTTTCAAACCTTGTGAGATCGGGGAGCGAGCTGGTGTGGTTAGAGCGCGGGACTTCGGTACCTGAGTCCCCGGATTCAAATCCCGTCAAATCACCAATGAATTTATCAGTGATAATGTCACAAACCCTAGGTCTAGCCTGAAGTAATGTGAAAAACAATTACGGTTTCGTGCCTAGCCTAGGACAAAAATATGCTAGGATCATTTTAGTTTATTTGCTAGATACGGGTGATTGAAATGGCAAAATTAATGTTTTGCCAGGCTAAACTTAGTCCGGTTTGCGCTTTCATGCTGTTGCATGTAAAGCGAGTTGAGATAGTGAAAAAAACCCAGTTCTAACAACCTTGTAACTAAAATAATCGAATTCCAAACAGATAATAAGCTAGATTTATAATTGAGATTTGTAGTTTAAATAGTTTAAGTGAAGCTCAAATGAAGCTTTGAAATTTGACACAGCAAAGTCAAAATTTTAATAAGATTTTAAATATTTACAGTTTCAGTAACATGAATGTAATGCTAACTCATAACAAATGTAATTGATTTTAATGTCTTGTTTGTCTAGATACGCACCAACAGTTTCCCATTTTCCATTAACTGTTTACTGTATACTGTACTGGATACTGTATTAAGAATTTGTTATAACAGATTCTGAAAAATACGAGTTTAGCTATCCCAAAATCTATGTAGATTAAACTATATTTTTATAGCAAAACAGCAGAGTGCGTATTTGAAAGAGATGAGTAAATGAAGAGATTTAGATTGACGAGACATATTTGTTACTGTTTAAGGTCAGCTGGATTTTTGGTCAAGATCACATTTAAAGCCCTCCGGACAAGGACAGCTAGTTACAGTTTATAACAATACAATATTAGCAAATTTGACTTGAGGATCTAACTGGTAATTTTTTTAAACCAAAATAAATCCACAGCAATTATTCTAAATTATTAAGAACCCGATTGATCGATACAGAATACCGTGAATTCGCTAAGCGGATTAACCAAAAACTACATTAATCCGGAATCGCCCGGTAATTCCCGCTTTGTCCGCCAGAGTGCCAGATGGTCGCCCCCGCACTGAACAAGACAAAGCGCAAGTGGCAATTATCTTTAACAATTTTAAGGCGAAGAATGGACTAATTACTTTTTATTACAACCTTTTACAGAGTGCGCGGGTGTACTAATTAATCTATTGTACACCACTCGGGCTTCGGCAGGGTTCGCGGGACTTCGGAGACGTTCGGAATGGAAACAGACCCGAGTGAATTAGGGATAATTGTAGCCCAATTGAGGTATTAGGCGACGCAGGGCTAAATTGCTCGGTGATTCTGCTAATTCGACAGCGATCATTTAATCCATTGTGACTCGATTGCCTATTGTTCGGTGATAGTGACAATGGTAGGATGTCCAAATCGCAGCCCTAAACCTCGCATTACGCTCGATATAGGGTTGTAGGGTTTGCTAGAGTGCTGGGGAGAGCCTCTTTATTCATTTAACTTCACCTCGACTCGATTCTTTTATTCGATAAAAGGAGGTTCCGTTCCAGATGCTACGGTGCGGTTTTATATGGAGTGTGGAGTTGAAATTTGGTGGTGTTGGGTTTTACGCTTTATTTTGTGGGTACTTTTGAACTAGACTTATTTTTGAATGAGTTCGTGTCTAGTTAATTTTTGTATACCTCAGTAATATTTTAAAACCACTATCTAAAAAAAACTATAAAATATTCTAAGTTGTATTATGTTTAAAGTTTGAAAATATTGTGATGCAAAAAATATATTTTTTATATCGAGCAACCATTATAAAAACAATTTTGTAATCAATAAGGTTTGACAATACACTTAGGTATAACAACAACAATGTCTTATAACAACAACAATGAACAATCAATGTCTTAATTTAACCAGAAATTGTTATATTAGAGCCTACTAGCACTATATTATTGAAAAAAATCTGTTACATCAATTTCTTTATTACAATTTCCTTAACTTATAAATAAATAAATAAAATATTTTATAAATTTGCTGAAGGTCATCCCTTTTATTTTATTATTGGAGTAAAGGACAGTTAAATTTACCAACTAATACGAGTAGCCTATTGTCATCAATATTGTTCAAACACGTTTGAAATAACGTTATGTTTTTAAATTACTTCCTTTTTAAAAAGGAAATAAATTAATTATTCAAGCTATACTTCCATTTACCCCGCCTGAATTTCTACTCTTAATAATACACAAAGTGTAAGCAAATTATTAATTATAATTAAATATCTTAAGACTTAATGTAGTTTCAAAACTGGTTCTTAAACATTGCTTTTTTTCCAGGTGTGGTTTCAAAACCGTCGAGCGAAGTGGCGCAAAAGGGAGAAAGCGTTAGGACGAGAAACTTCAGGCTACATGCATCCGGACCAGGCGCAAGGTGAGGCATTGTGTTGTATTAATTAATAAATTAATTTGAGAACTATAAAAACAAATCTCATAAACAAATATAGTTCATTTTTGGTTAGATCGCGGGAATTCAGTCCTGAAAAACAGGGTTCAAGTCATCACATTCACCAATGACTTTATTTTGGATGTCGTATGGATAATATACAAATTTCCAAAAAAAAGAAGTAGAAAATATTGTGTATGCCTACAATTTTTAGACAACACATTTATTTTTGAATAGTTTGTCCTTTTGTCTCTATGTGCACAACACGTTAACTCCAAACAAATATTTTTTTCACCTATTAATAATGTTATTTTATGAAAAAAATGAAATTAGAAAGACCTGTTATAACATTTTAGATACTTCGAGATGTAAAATGGTCAAAGCACAAGTTAGGCCAAGGCAGCGATGTCTTTTGTTCGCTTCCTAGCATCTGCCATTAAATGTTATCTGTATTGTACTTAACTATTGTACTGTACCAGCTCAAACAACTTTGCTGAACACTCTCATATTGCACAAACTAACAACTAAAGACCACACGAGTAAGTTTGTGAGTTGATTTATATCAATGTGTAAAATTTCAAAAATTCATTTTAAATTATTAACTTTTCCCTCCTTTTCTAGGTTTCCCGCCAGAATTGGTTCACGCACAGCTGGGTATGCCATCCCTGGCTCCAGACCCTTTCTGGCCTGCCCTAGGGTTCAATCCTGCCGCGATGTTTGGTCTCTGGAACAAGACTAGTGCTGCGCCCCTACACAACCTCCTGTCCCACTACATGCTAGGGGGTGCCATCCCCGTGCTGGGGGCGTCCTTCCCCCCTCCACCAGACCATCCCCCGACCCCTAGTCCCCCTGGGTCCCCTTCGGCGTCTCCTGACTCCAGAACTTCCAGCATTGCCGCTCTCCGTCTCCGCGCCAAGGAGCACCTCCTGGATAGGCGACTGGGAGTAGCAGGACCTTCGGACACGTCACCGTCACCCTCCGCCCACGAGACGTAGGAAGTGATAAGAGGGGTGTTTTCAAGGTTTTAAACGGTTAATGTCCGAGTACACAAATAAGTTGTTTTTATTGAGAAACGCTTTTTAAATTGCGTAATATATGTTTGAAATATTTATCATTGATAACGTAGAAAACTATTTACTTAAAAACAATGGTATAACCATAAAAATGTTGAAAATTAATTTAAATATTTTTGTTAAAAACCCTTTATATCTAATAGTATTCAAAATAATTGTTTAACTTCATGCCTAATACTTTAACGAGTAATCTGTCTTGGACGTTTTAAGGTTTTACAAACGAAGTTCAAAGACGAAAATGAGTAATTAATGAAATAATTCATACAAGTTTTTTACACTATGTATTTGAGCTTTAACTCTTAATTTATAACACTGTAGTAAATCATATTCGTTGGCAAGATTCTATAATCAAACAATGTTAAATCTCTACTTCATGGCTTTTTCAGAAATGTTTATTATTTTGAGAATTTTATTTTTTGGTATTTTTGTGTATAAATTTTAATTCCAGCAAATTTTCTGAAGTTTATCCTGTCAACTGACTGTGACATCATATGAATATTTGCCTGCAATATTTGGAAAACTTGATAATATCGTCTTGTTTACAATGTAAAGATTGTTTTGAAAAGTATTTAAGTAGTCTTATCATTATTATTATGTTTCAAAAAGTGTGAATATTTATTCTATGTACATAAGCCTTTGCCTCAAAGCTCCCCTGTTTCTTTTTGTAAATATTTTAAATGAATACAAAGTATTATGTATTATTTCGTGATAGTAGTTAATATGTACAATATTTATTTATATTATACGGTTTTTGAAACCGACTGTGTATTTAGAATGTAAATAGATTATTTGTAGTAATTTTTGTTCTAAGTATTGAATAAATGTTGTTAGAATCGTTCTTTGGAAATTCTCTTAACTCCTTGTACTGTTTTCACTTTTTGTAATGTTTGTAAATCGACTAAAGCACCTTGAACTTTAAGAGTCATGTCAAGCTCTTAAACATTGAATTAAGATAATCATGTCAATACAATGAAAATTATTTTAAAATGACGTTTTTAAAAACTTATTTATGTTTAAGCTTTGTAATGTATACACTATCGTGGAAATATCCTTATAAAAAAATTAGGATAGATATTTGTTTCCACATTATAACCGTAACTGTGTGTTTTTTTTTTTTAGATGTTGGTGGCCTCTTTTTAGCATTTATTTGCCCGTCCACATTTCCTATAGGGAAGTAGCTATTACCGTAGGTCTCATGGTAAGACCTAAGACCGGGACCGATTTACTTTTTCATTTTGATGTCCCCAGAGGCCAAAAACACCATTCGTTCAAATTTTTATATATCTATGAACAAATGTGTATAGATATATAAAATATAGGTATATATATTTTATATATATTTTAGGTATATATTTTATATATTATAAAATAGTATATAAAATATATCGCGGCAGGATATATATATGTGTGTGTGTGTCCATCCGCACGATAACTTGAGTAATTTTTGTCCGATTTTGATAAAATTTGGTTTGAAGGTGCAAGGCGGGATAAACTTGAATGAGTTCGCGAACCAGCATGATCGGACTATGGGAACGGGGGTTTATGGGGTAAAAATAGGTTTTTCCCATTTTTGACCCTAAAAACACAAAATTTCACAATTTCTTTTTAAACTATTTTGTAGAGCTTAAAAAACAAATAATTTATTATGTTGACGCGTTATTATGCGCCTAATTGTTACGGAGAAAATTAAAAAAAAATTGTAATTTTAAAATTCCAATGTTATTCTTATGGAGAATAAGTCAACTGTTGTAGTTTGCTTGTTTATGAACATATTTTGATCAAATTTGGAAAATACATTAATTTAGTACTAAACCACAGTACATTTTAATATTTTACATAAAAAAACTTTTTTACCCTCCCTGTTGCAGCAAACCTAAGTATTTTACTCATTAAACTAATTCTGTTTAAATAGGGAATAAATGTGATATTTTTAAGGAGACATTTTAGTTTAAATCCAGTCAGGCAAATGGAAATTCGCTAAGTCTTCAGGTTTGCTGCGGCGGGGGTATTTAAGTATAAAGTTGAATTCTGGTTAAAACTTCTATATGAATGTCAAAAGCTTTTTATTGATCAATGATTATACAATGTTTTATATTGGGACATTTATATTGATGGAAAAATAGTCAATACTATCCAATGTATGTAAATATTTAATATCAGAAGGGTAACTGACAAACAAATTTACTTTAGGGTTCGGACATTTTTTACTGTTCCCAAAAAACAATTTATTTTCTTTTTGGGCAGTTACATGACATTTGGTAATTTATATAAAGTTTGACACAAACAACTGAAAGTAATACAAACGTTCACCAAATGTAGAGAAAACCAGTGAAATTCAACCAAAACATTACAACCGAATGATTTGATTGGTTTTTCCATATGACTCCCGCTTCAGTTGCCTTCGTATGGAAATAAAAAGCAATACTCGACTCAATCGAAGGCCAAATATGTTTTGGAATAGATTTTTATATTGGAAAAGGCAGCGGGTTTTACTAAATTGTGTAATAAACGGGTTACAGAGCAGCGTTCCCTGGACATATTGGCTATTTGTACACAAAGTGCATATGAGGGGAAAAATATAAACGGTGGAGTACCTTTGCCAATGAAAACATTTATATTGGAAAATTGTCCGCCTCTATTGGACAATATGTATTACAGGCTTTACAATAATTACATCCATAATATGTGATGATTGAGAAATGTGAAGTATTCATGTATATGTGTACCACGAATACTAGAACATACAACGTATGGATCATAAACATGAAACAAATAGTGTTACTGCCCGAAAGTAAACAATATTTATCATTATATTAATAGAATATTGTGGTTGATGTGACTGGGATACACATAAAATAACTGTTGGGACATACAGTAATGATGATTTACGTTTATTTTTGAAATCTCTTAAGATCTAAATCTGAACATTTACATCTGAACATCTAAATATAGACCCGCCTTTTAGGTTTCGAGTTAGGGACCAGAATTAAATACTCGTGAGATGACAAGATAAACCTTTAGGCCAATACCTTTAGACCCATTTAAATTATAATTAATAGCTAATTATATTGCTGATAATTCATAAACGCAATCAGTAATCAGATAAGTTCACCTCGTACAAACAGTATAACATTATACGATTGGCCAAGGATTCGAATTTGGTTTATAAAATGCAGTAGCCTAAATACTGAATTTTCTAACAAATTAGACAAATGAAATATACTAAATCATTTCATTTTATCTTAAATTGGCATTCTGTAGTAAGTAATACAACACGGTCCCTAAATGCAAAATTATTGATTGTCAACATGCCAGTTTGTTTGTTTTGATTTAACCTCGAAATTTGATACATATAAACACAGGATGCACTACAGCCAAATAGGTTCATCTTCAAAGATATTCCACCACACCTTAACCGCTTATAGCTAAAAATAATCCAACTGTACTTGGATTGAATGACATTACATGTCTATATCGACAAATAAGCTACAAATACAATAATTTTATATCCTGCCAACCGCCAGGCTATATGTTACTAATATTTGATCATTTACTGCAATACAGTTATTTATTTGATTTTTGTTAGTGTCATATGTTGTTATTCTTTAAATGTTGATTTTATAATTTAAGAACATCTGTTATTGTTAGTTGTGTTTGTTTTGACTTATAATTCAGTAAGTAACATTATTCTCAAAATAAAAGTTTTAGTACGTTAGAAATCTTTATTTGTTCGACAGATAGTCTCCGGATGACGTGAATAAAAGTACTAGTAGCCTATATTAAATTGTTCTAAATGTGCCACGTTACCATTTCAATGTCAGTGTTCGTGTGTTTGTACTCTTTGTGAATTGATGCCCTTCTTAGTGATCACCCTTTTGACATCCTTGACGCCTGAAGATGACTTCGAAGATTTTACTAGTTGCGACACCGGCGACATAAGGATTACAATGAAGCAGGTATTTACACCAATTTAAGGTACTTTATTGTACAGTAAACTATATAGGCTATTGAATATTCCATGTATGACCCTACCCTTGTTTATTATACAGGGTGTTTCCAATTGTCTGGATATATTTTGTGGACTTGTTCCTTGGGCTAAGACAAACATAAATGCAATTTAAATCCATGTGTGTAGCCCCTGAGCTGTTGGACATAATGTAAGACTAAATTACTTACGTAATTCCCGTCACAGCTCAATAAAATATGTCTATTCAGGACATGTTTCGGTGTTAAAACACCATCGTCAGCTTCAGGTACATAGTGTAGAGTTGATCAGTTGTTAACATCGTCAGAAGATAAACACAGTAGCCTACGGACACGAATAAATACATAAAAATGAATTTATGTATTGTATGTAAATGTTAAATGTTTAATTGTTTTATGTATTTATTCGTGTCCGTACTGTGTTTATCTTCTGACGATGTTAACAACTGATCAACTCTACATACAGTATGTACCTGAAGCTGACGATGGTGGTTTAACACCGAAACATGTCCTGAACATCGATATATAACTACTACGTCCTGAATAGTGACATGTTTCTTATTGAGCTGTGACGGGAATTAAGTAAGTAATTTAGTCTTACATTAAACATAAATGCCATACAAGTACCGGCCTAAAATGCCTAGATTTCGCTCTGTCGGTGTGTTTGAGATTTTTTAAATTTATTTTACAGCTTAGGCAATATTCAAAATAGATACTTAATAATTGGTGTAAATATGTAGTTTAGAAGGTATAAAGAACTTAAAATATGTCGTTCCAATATCTCGAGCCATTTTAATTCTTGCCCTATTGAAATGGCTTGAGATATTGTAACGAAATATTTTAAGATCTTTATTAACTTCTAAACTACACATTTATATACATTTTGATATTTCTATCTAGAAAAATACCTAAGATATAAAAAAATTATAAAATTCACAAACAGACGGACAGACAGAAATCTAGACATTTTAAACCCCATATACTTGTTTGTTTTTTTTATGTTTGTCTTAGCCCATGGAACAAGTTCACAAAATATATCCAGACAATTTGGAAACACCCTG